ATTTTAATTTGTTTCATTTCTAAATTGTTACTAACTAATATTTATTCTTATGTTTAGAATGAAATAATTGGGATTATGGATAGACTTTCAGAGAATAAAAAACTAGACGTTAACAAAACTTTCGAAAGTCAGCGAGAGTCTGTTAATAATCATATAATCCCAGTTATATAAAAGGCAATTGATAGGAAGGCATTCCCAGTAGTTAATGGTATAATCAGACACATAATTCATGAGTGACATCACCACCAAAGAGAAAACTTTTTAAATAATAAGAGAAGTACATATTGGAATGATATCGAGAAAAGAAAAAAACACGCTAATTTACGACGTACTGAAGTGAGTAAAAAAAAAGGTTTTGTTTTATGCTTTATTAATAAAAAATTCCTGATATATTTAGAAATGGGAACGCTGGATGAAAACAATCAACAAATTCATAAATTGAAAAATCCTTTGATAGAAAAACTTTATAACGATGAACTTCGACCGATCTGGACTGACAATAAATATTATAGTCCAGAAGTATCGGAAACAGATGATGAAAATCCTAATAAGCGAAAGATCGTCATCCGAGATCTTAAATGGAGATCTTTAACAGTAAGTTTATACAGTTGATTTTTTAAAATTAGAATATACTAATTTGGGTTTTTTAGTTACGCATCTTTTTGCGAGAATTTATAGATAACAACTTTAACCTGATACGTAGAATAAGAAAATGGGTGTATAGTAATGACAAATTCACACCTGATGAAGAAGAAGCACCCGTTAATGCTCCTAGTTGGACAAAAAACGGATATAATGGATCTCTGAAATCATTTGCAGAGAGATATATTAGTATTCACTACTCTCTGTCTTCTTTTAGGAATAATAATATCAGAGAAAAAGATGTTGATGATAACATTTATATTAATGAAGCGGAAGATGAGAAGGGAGATAAAGAGGATGAGGAGAGAAATGAGGAGGAAGACGAGGAGGAGGATGATAATGTTGACGATGAAGAAAAAAGATTCCAAAGATCTAGAAGCCTAGTATCAGGAGAGTATAATAGTTATGAGGACTATTAGCATAGTTTAGTAATGTATAAATTTTCTTTGTGTTGTAATTTTATTAGCTATATTGCATAATACAAATAAATATCAATATTTAACGATGTGAAAAAACAATTTTATATAAATCGGAAATATATATTAAATTAAAAGTTATAAATCGGTAAATTACAATTAGATAAATGTTAATATATTAGGCATAAAATAGACATTCCTATTAATATCTGATATATTACTGATAGGTATCCTATTTGATTCTAAATTTTATACCTGATTGAAACCTTAGTGTACTCTTCTTGCGCCATTTTATGATACTAATCGGGTTTTCCTATTGAATACCAATAATAAAAAATAGGGACTAATCAGAAGAAATTTGGAGACCCAGATTTTTTCTGATTGGTCTTCTATTTGTCAACATTCACCTGTGTAAATTAGATAGTTAATGATATTGTTAACGTGCAATTCTTACAAATTGTAACAGTTAAACAGGATGTTCAAGTGGTGATTCTTTTAAGTTTATGTAGTAATCTAATAGTTGTCTCAGTAAGTTAATGGTTCTTTTATATATTGTAAAGTATATTCACATCTCAGTTAGTTAAGTTCTATTATATATTGAAAAATATATTTAAATTTACGATGAATATAGAATTCATCCACTATATACTGCCCAATATATTCAATACATCATTGAATATATTTCTAAATGTTAAGTCAAAATTAAATGTGAATTACGTTACAAATACAAAGTGTCACAAAATATTTCAAGTAAATTGAATAAAGATTTATTGGTAAATAAATAAATTAAAAACTAAAAATACTAAACTAAGGAAATACAAAAGAAGAATTAATCACAAATAGAAAAGAGTAGTCTTACATTACTTTACAAAAAGGGGTTATACATAGTTATCGCTGAACTTATCAGATTGCATCTAGCAATTGATAGTTATTTTTTGTCAAAAATTTAGTTTTCTTTATATACTTTTTAATATAAATCTAATATATTATATATGTTAAGTATGTTTGATATATCAAATATATCAGATATGTCAAATATATCAAATATGTTTAACATGTTTGACATTTGGATCTACATTTTCTTGCATTATATATATTTATTAAGTTAATCCTGTTAACTACATCACTTACGTAACTATTTATAATGCACTATATAGATCAATTATATTATGATAGTCCTGTTACAATATAATAAACATATCAATTAAATAAATAAGTTAAATTTTTAGTATTTATTTAATTAATAATTTATGCATCTTTTTAAAAATATGTATATATATATCAATACAAATTAAATAATTTAAAAAAATTTTTTTATTTATAAATAAAATTTATAAAAATATTATTTTAAAGTTAAAAAAAAATAAATATAGAAAAATTAATCATTAAATATATCTATTATATATAATTTAAAATTCAATTATATTCTTACTAAAATTTTATTTTAAATTATAAATTTAGAATAAAAAATAAGATATAAATTTAAAAAGATTTGTTAAGTTGATTTTTTTCAAAATTATTTTTTTTATCAAAACAATTTTATAATTTAATTATAGAATAAAATATTAAATAATAATAGTAAAAATTAAAATTTCTTTAAAAATATATAATTTAATTAAAAAATATTTTAAAATAAAAATTGAAAAAATAAAATACATATATATTATTTGTGAGTATATATTTATTTTTATTTTATTAAAATATATTATTATAAATATTTTAAATATTATAGTATAGAATATAAGCTTATTAATAAAATTACAAATAATCTTTATCAGTATTTAAAGAAGAAACATTCTATTAAATTAGAAAATTAAAAATAAAAAATTAATATAAATATATTAATAAAATATTATTTGTAAATTTTATTTAAAAATTTTTTTATTTTATTTATCAAATATTAATAAAATTATATAATTATAAAGTATTTTCTAATAATATTTTATGAATATATTTCTAAATAGATTATTTAGAATGATTAATCTTTTTTAACTCTTAAATCAGAAAATTTGTAAAATTTATTTTAAATGTTAAATTCTAATATTAAACACTTTTGGCTAATACTATTTATATAAATATAATAAAATATTTTAAATTAAAATCCAAAATATTTTATAAATAATTATTTTATTTTATTTTATTTATATATATTAAATAATAATATTTATTTATTTTAAAATATTAATTATATTCTTTTTTTAAGAATTAAAATTTAATAGATTTTAAAAGAATAAAAATTAATAAAAATTTTAATTAAATTTTTATAATAAATACAATCAATTCTTTTTATAATGAACTTTATATCCTAAATCTATCTTTTCCAGTATCACTAATACTTTTTTTATTCTACATGACCAAATTTAATGATCATTTCTAAAAATGATAATTCAAATTTTTAATGAAAACTTTTTTTATTTTATTAAATAAAACTTATCACAAATGTTATCTAATCACAAAACTAAATATTTATATTTAATTCTTTATACTCTGCAAGTTTACTTAAAGTTCAAAAAGGATTTTAGAATGCCAAATTTTGTTAAATCAATCATTTAGAAATGGTTATATAAAAGTCAAAATCTGTATATGTAAACTTATTTTTATTGTCTAAGTAAACTTATAAATCAGATAAATATACATATAATATATAAGTTTAAAAGATATATAATATTTGCATCAAGTTTTATCTTTATTTTTAAAAAAGTTCAGCAAATTTGATTATGTAAAGGTGAAAAAAGTGTTGGTGATACTGAAGTAGTTCTTAAACCTTAACTTCTCTATAAGGTTATAATAAAGATTTTAAGAGATTTGATTGACCAAGTCACTATAACAAGAGTATTTTTATTATATTTATTCAAAAATTTATTATATCAAGAATTTGTTATATTAAAAGTTGATTATATAACTTATTCTAAAGAAATTTAACAGAATCTTTTATTAATTATTATAATGAATACTAAAAAATATATATTTTTTAAATTTAATATACAATTATAATTTATATTTAATTATATTATAAATTTAAAATTATATAACTGATAATACTAGAAATAATAATACTATAATAAAAAAACTATATAATATTAATTTTATTAAAAAGTATAATACATTTAATAATTTATATTATTATTGTGAAATTCTTCAACTCAGATTAATCATATCCTTAAGTCTCTATAGAGCCTATAATTGTAATGATTGGAACTGCGTTATAATAATTGATGTGATATCTACTAAGTTTATTAGTATTAAAATAGTTAAAGTATACATAGTTACACTTATGTTACTTAGGATAATTATTTTTAAAGTGTACAATATAGTTATCTTAATATAATATCTTCATAATCAGGGTTCTATCTCTATTTGAGATTACTAACTGCAGTTTATTGCAGTTAAAATATTAAGATTTATCTAACTTTTAACTTTATTAATTCTATACATTAAATTTAAATCGATCTATTAAATATGAAAACTTAAGATGAGATTATGAATAATTTAATTAAAGAATTCAAATGATGAATATAATTACAAATAATATGTAAAGATCACGTCAGATTATAAAAAGAGACAAAGAAATAGAAAGATATAAATTTTAACTGATTCATTTATTAATATTAAAACTCATATTCACAAAAAAGTTTGTAAATCTACAAAAGAGTTAATTTATAATATAAGTAAAAAGTCTATCTATTTATATAAAATTTCTTTTATTATGTTAATTATTTACTACGCTATAAATTAACTAATTTTATATATAAAATATAAATATACTAAAGATAATAAAAATACATAAAATAATAAAAATATAAAATATAATAAAAATAATAATAAAAAGAAAAATATTAAGAATAAATATAAAATTGAAAATTTTTAGATTAATATATTAAATTAAAATAAACTTAAAATAAATTAAAAATAATATTTATATTATATATTAAATCAATATAAGATTCAGAAATAATTTATTAATACATTAAATTAAAATAAATTTAAAGTAAATTAAAGTAATACTTTTATTATGCATAAATTAATTTAAGATTCAGAAATAATTTATTAAAATAATATAAATAAAATTTTGCTAAATAACTCTATTTTTGGTAACTTTTTCAAATATTCGATATTGTTAATATGCAATCTTTTCAGGTTGCAACTGTTAGATGCAGTGTCAGAGGGTTGACTCTTTTATAGTTCACGTAATAATTCCAGTTGGTTTATGATAACCTTAGCTAATTTACTACCAGTTTATAGGTTTAAATTAAGTTTATTAAACGTGAGCAGCTTCAATCACAAATTATAAGTTTTCACAATAAGTTGGAGAAAAGTTTCAGATATGAGGTAAGAAATAAGAAATACTTTATTGAGATGAAAAGAAAATAATAAGATAATGATATACGAGAGAAATAAGAAAGAGAAATAAGAAATAGAGACACACAAGGTGAAGAGTAGCGTTATACTATCTTTTACAAGAGAGAAGTTCTATACAGCCATCGGTTCTATCTTTCTAGTGAACAAAAGAGGTTGTATTTATATCTATTCTATTACATATTTTGACATATCTAATATATTAACTATGTTAACTATATCAACTATATTAACTATATTAGACATATCTGATATGTTAGACATATGAGCTATATTAAACATGTTAAACATGTTAAATATATTTGACATTATCGATATTTGTACTTCGCCACACAATTATTGATCTTGATCGTTAAGATCGACATCCGGTTACATTACTCCCTCCTTAAGATTTCTGTTTCAACAGAAATTTTCAGAGTACAGCTAAAAAGATTCTGATATTCCTTAGTCTTAAGTCGTCTAATCTAAGTCAATGTTAAAGAACGAGTATTCAGGATTTGTTGACTTCCTAAATTTTCAAAAAGAAAATAAATACAAGTGGAACATTGGTAGTAATGTGCGGTAATTGTTTGACTTTGAAGAGTCCTTTGTGCAGGTGTCATATCATCATTGTTTAGTAGTTCGCCTAAGAAGAAAGCGTTTATTAA